CCGTCGGCGCTCGGCTCTTGTCGTAGTTAATTCGTAGGGTGCAACAGCTCACCCGCGGGCTGTCTCTACTCTAGCGGCTGTAGCCCGTGGGAGGCTGCAGAAAAGTGCTTAACTAACTTGAAGCCGGGCGAAGCTTGTGGAGGCTAGTCTAGTAAGAGAAAAATACCCCGCAAATTCCTTAATAGCCGCACGTGCTGACCTCACTTCTTTGAACTGTATATGACAGTAGCCGCTAAATTTTTCTGTCGCTTTATCCTGGGACATACGGATTTCCTGTATTTCTCCGCACTTTTCTTCGAACAACTTCTTCAATTCGTCTTCAGATGTCGCAAAGCTTACATTCGTAATGAAAACTCGCTTCGAGTTCCGATGTTTCGTGATTACCCTGTCGTGATTGTTTTGGATTCGGTACCAGGTAGACAAGGCAAGGTTAACGTGGTGAGACTTTACTTTTTAGACACTTTAACTACTTGTTTTTCGAGGAAAGCAATGCTTCTGAGATTGCATAGTGACAATCGTGGTAGCACTTATAAAGTCCGAGACTTGAGAACATTAGAAACATGAAAGCAGAGGCTGGGACAACATAATTAATCCAACTCCTCCAGCCTTCAGTTGTAAAGAACAGATATTTAAGTGACAATACGGATCGTAGACGAATTTTTGTAGCTCGTTTTCTTGGTCAGCTTCTTGTCGCAGCCTTTCTAATCGCTGCAATGTTCGCCTTTTCCGCGCCGCTGCACCTCGCTTTCCGCGGATTCCCGGTTTCTTTGATTTGAACGAGTCCGTGCCTCCGATCGCGTCTGCATTTATCCGATCTAGCAGGTCTTCTTCGGACGAGGAAGACGAATCGTCATCTCCTTCCTCGTCCATATCTTCATCTTGCTGCACTACCCGCTCTCCTGTGACAGCACTATGACCATTTCCATTTGATACAACACGTCCGCCGGTGCTGCTACTGCTGCCACCCTGCTGAAAGCGCTTGAGCCTTTTTGGATCCGGCTGTCCGTCTAAGTCGTCAAGGTCGTCGTAAGTGCCAGATTGAAACCGGGACGGATCCATCCCCGCGGTGAAAATCGACTCATCCAAATCACCGCGAGACATATTATTTTTATTCAGATTGATTTAGTAATGACTGCTAGACAATGGAAAGCGAGACTAGACGAGGTCGTTCCGGGATACGAAAAAAAAATTGCGGATAAAAACTTTTCTAGGTGGCAGATTGCTACCACTTTTTCCGCTGTCGAGCTGGAGTCAACAAAATTGCTGTTTCTTGCAAATTACAAATACACAAGCTGAGAGAGCCGCCTCACTCCTGTATAATTGATTTTGATGTCAAGTCTTGATTAACCTGGAGATTCATCCTGGATTAAATTTATGTTCCCCAGCACTAACACATCGTCTGAGGTTGAGGAGAACTTGAAACATGATAATACTTCAATCATCTTAGACTTACCTTGTAGTTGTAAAATATAGTAGTTGTACTAGTCTAAGCAAGATACAATTTTTTTTGTCCATTTCCGACGATTCCAGCTGCTTAGCTCATGGTCAGAGGAACATCAAGAAAGCTCTACAGAATTCGAGGCATGAATGAAGGTGGTCCAGCTCAGATCCCGAGTCGCAGGGATCTTTCAGGGTGCAAGTTGTACACCTTCTCGTGGCTTATACTTGTTTATATTCTTTCACATTATACTCTTTCTACTATTCACCCTGTCTCTATCAGTAATCCCTACTTTTTCGTGAAAATTTGGATTCAACGTCAAATTTGCATTTGGAACAACAAAAGCGAGCATCAGCGCGAGGTCGTGCCCGCATATGATTATCATGAGCAACTCATTTCGATTTCTATTTTCTTGATTAGTACTACTAAGATCCAGCAATATCCCGGTGCGAGAGAGGTCGACATCAATCCTGTTAACAACGTCAGACTCAGCAGCTACGAGAACAATGCTTCTGTTTCGGTCCAAGTGCAATGGAAATGGCTTCTGAAAGTGGGTTGGTCAACTAGAACTACTCTAGCAAATGCGGTCCCGTCTTTGGACGATTATAGGTCGAACTTTTAAATAGATCGATAGATAAGAATTGACGTTGATCACAAGATTGTGGTGACTGCCAGTAGCTGGATGTAAAAACCCGAACCGCTCTCGTCGAGGGATGCGAAAGCGAAAAGCTGTCTCAGTTCTTCCATTCAGATGCGAAGAGGGAAGGTGACAAAGAATATCTTCGTCTGCCTTCGCCATCTATGCATACGATTTTTGGAGTTGGGCGCTAATGCCGGCGGTATAGTCATCAACGTCTCTGGTTATACTGGTTCTGCTTAAGCATTCACAAAAACACAAAATACATAGAAACACGCCAAAGCTAATGTTGGTCATAATAAGTCGCGTGTTGTAAGGGCGTGAGCGACAAGGGGAAGGGCGCTGACCCTCTAACTACAACAGGTGAGAACCAAGCGTATTCGACAGGCACAGGGACGATTTTCTTACTTAAGGACATCCGAGAGACGTCGCAATAATCGCCGACGATCTCCTCGTTCTTCCTCGTTTAGATTCTCAAGGTTGTCCAAAATGATCTGCATCTCCTCAACTTCGATACGGGCGTTAGGCTGGTTCTTATCAAATCCTTCGAGTCGTTTCTCCGTTTCTAGCAGGACCATGCAGCCTTCCCCTCTGCGTTGTGCTTCTAGACCCGGCGTGCTGCCCCTATTGCTGTTGACATCAAGGCTAGGATAGAGTCCTTGCCGTGCTGCTTCCGGTCGTTGATGTGGAGTAAGTGCTAAGTTGTTGGCATGCCCCGCTCCATTTTGGATTTGGTTTTGATGATTATGATGTGTCTGTGGAATACGAACCGAAGTGGCAGTACTCTGTGAGGTCGCACGGGCATCTTGAAGATGAATATCGCGATTTTGCTTGGAGATAATCTGCATGGCTTTGTATTCTTTAGTGCTATCTCCGTCTACAACGACATCGCCGCAGAGATTTTCGTGAGGTAGAACGAAACGCTTACCCGTCTCCTCACCAACCAGCCCTTCCACGACGTACGAAACAGGTCGTATAAAGGCCTCGACTACTCGGTTTGTACGCCTTAAATGCGCCTCAGTATACTCCCATTCTCCATAGATGGACGCACCATTCAATTCCGGTCGGTTCTGCAAGCCCTTGAGCTGTATGGCCAGCGCGCCCTCGGTCTCCAACCTCGATCGCTCCAAGACATACTGACCACCAGCACCCAGACGTCCACTTGTTGGCTTCAAAAAGACGTTGTCCACTGAAACGATGACCTTGCGGCCATGCGGAGACAAAAGCACCTCCACCTTGTCCAGACCCAGGATATGGACGCGCCGCGTGCCACCCACAACGTTTTTCGTCCAAAATTTCGTGGAACGAAAATGATACGGCTCCCCCTGCGTGCCCATCCCGGAACTCCACAGCGTTAAAACAATGCGCCCGCCGCTTATCGCATCTATCGGTCCATCGGGACGATACAGAGCCTGTTCGACCACGCGCAAGCTTGCTCCACCCTCGATCGCAAAGTCGGAACCCACGCTGGGCTCGTACAGATGTGCCCCGTACTGCGGGCGGTACTGGAGAGTGGGGGCCGATGTCTTCTTTGTTTTATGGTCATCGTGGCCCGGTCGCGACCCGCCGCAACACGTGTTGCCCATTTTTACCAGGAAACTTACGATAGACTGAAAAATACGCTCGAGAACTCCATCAGTAAAACTAGAACAACTACAAGTATCAATGATTTACTGTTTAACCTAACATCGCTAGTAGACGACGTTGATCTATGATCGTCCTCCTGCTTGTAACGACCCTTTCAGCATCGTAACGTCTACAATAAAATTACCCTTCCTTCCGACAAACTGGTAGCTGAATTTTGTTCAGGAACGAGCAATGGTACTGTTATCGTAGGGTCGTGAATAGCAAAATCAAATTGGATAAATCAGAAAAGCGTCATCAAATTATGCAGCACTCATGCATCGCACTCTATTCAGAACTTTTATACTTGTATGATATGTATTTGATCATCTTAATACTTGTTCATGATCTCGACATGTGCTACAATTTTCACCTCCATTGGCGTAACAAATATCTTTTGCGGTCGGATGGAGAAAAGTAGGATCTTCGCGTGCAGCTGCAGACAAAAGAGGTGATCTACTGATATCCTCAACTTCTAACCCGATCGCGATCAAGGCAAGTAGTGTCATGGCGAAGCGCAGTCCTCCTGCGGACTCTTCAATAACAAGTAATATTTTCAAATTTTTGTGGGAAGGCAGTGGATATATGCAGTTCAGACTTTCTGATCTTGGTGTTTTATCACACCATAGCAGGTGCAATCTTGCGCTTCAGCCCGCTAACATAAGGATAACATCTGCTTCCCGAAATAAATTAAGAACAAATACTAAGTATTGGAAAAAACAATGAATGATGTGCAACATATTTTAATCGATGTCCATGCAGTGTTTCTATACAGTTCCATACGTACCATGAAGTAGACACTCACTGATTTCGATTTGAATATTGTGTTTCAAGAAGTTCCTTGAGTTCCGTCATGATTGAGATCGGAACTGCCCTTCCTTCTAGTACTTATTATAATATATGTACTTCCATAACCAGTTTACGCAAGACTGTTCATGCGCGTGGTGCACCAATAGACAAGGAAAACAACGGCGGCCCCCGATGCCAAGATTACCAGCAGCGTCTTGATGTTCACACTCTCCCCGTCGCCGTCTTATTAGAGTCCGCCGGGTACGACTGGGTGATGTTGAAGATCTTCTACCCAAACTCGTTGTACTTACAGAATAAAGGGTGGATTCAATAGGTACAGACTAAAACAACACTACATGGTACCTGCTTCATGGACGAGGGATAGAAGTAAAATAGAACTCAACCACGACTTAATCAAACAAGCAAACATCGAGAAAAAATTCAGACAAGCATATGAATGTTCACCATTGTTTCATTCTTAACTCGTAGTGGATTCTCCTTCGTGGACCTTCTCCCACTCCTTGCCAACAGAGTGCTCGCATTCTGTGTGCTCCTTCTGCAGCATCTCCAGCTTATCCGCAAGCACTTCGACTAGCACGGGCACCGTGATCTGATGCAACTCATAGCGGATGTCCGCAAGCATGTCGGCTGAAGAAGAATGTTGTGCAGTGGGGAAGTGAAAGAGGAGATAGTCGTGGGAGAACGAGAAGAAGCAAGTAATATCTATGTTGTTGCATTTACATTTAGATGGTGCATACTTATTCAAATCGCTGTAATGGAAAAGTTTCAAAAGGTGACTGTTGTGCCTGCACACAGAAATGAAGGCGTCTACCAAGTCCCGCCGTCGTTTCGCTAGCAACCACGAGTTTGTCACTGTTGATTTTGTCGTTCCAGGTAGTGTGGTCCCCCCAGAGGGAAATTTCCGCGCGAATGCGCTCGATGCGACCGGCAATCTCCGCACACTTACCAGTACCAGCCGAAGCCACTGGTGCAACGGCAGCAGGTGCTTCCATGGTCGGCGGCACCTCGGCAGCCGGAGCGGTGACTTTATCGTTTAGCAGCGGCTGGACTGCCATGCTAACAGCGGCGGCGGGGGCAGTCGACGCCTGATTGATTTGTAGCAAGCATACGTACTCGCGTGTAACCTTGTTTCTTTCTTGACTCTAAAAAAATTGCTGATTTGTATTGACGAGACGAACTCTGGTTCGATACTGCTCATGATTCATGAACATAGAAGAGTATAAAAAAAATATGAACCTTCTTGTTTTTGCCGGGAGTTTGCTTGACGTTCTTCACAGCGACTTCTGCTTTCTTACTAACCATATTTGCAGGCGAAGTAGAGTGGACTGACGCCTCCTCCTCATCGTCATCATCGTCGTTGCTCTCTTCATCGTCCTCGTCGCTCTCTCCCGTTTCCGTCGTAGAGCTCGATTTGGAGGTGTCCAGAACGCAGTCGCAGTCATCGTCGTCACCAGGGAGTTTCCCGGTGAGCATGCAGGCGCACGGCACGCCCGTCTTCTTGTGGACACCCTTCAGCTTGAAGTGCTGATTACTCTTGCTGTTGGTGATCGAGGAAGAAGTCATTTCAACAGAAGAAGATTTTGACGAAGAGCTATTCTTATCGGCGACTCCCGACTTAATGTTCTTGGAGAAGAAGTTGTTCTTTTTGCTTTCCAATAGAGACGCCTTCTTCTTCGTAGCGACGGCTTTTTTTCCCTCGGCCGCATGTTTCGGATCGTCACAGGGACACTTCGCGCCAGTTTTTATCAGGCCAGAAGTTTTGGATCCGTCGACACAATCACAGTCATCTCCCTTACTAGCTGAGACTGTAGCCGTTGTCGGGCGGGGTGCTTTACTGTCCAGAATGCAATCGCAATCGTCGCCCTTCTTACGAGGTGCAAGCTGTCCCTTGCCATCGAGGATACAGTCGCAATCATCGCCCTTCTTTGAGTGCAACGACGTAACTGCGCGGCTATCGAGGATGCAGTCGCAATCGTCTCCCTTGTTGTGCGGAACTAGCTTATTGCCATCGAGGACGCAGTCGCAATCGTCGCCCTTCTTTGCGTGCAACGACGTAGCTGTGCGGCTGTCGAGAATGCAATCGCAGTCGTCTCCCTTGTTGCGCGGAACTAGCTTGTTGCCATCGAGTATGCAGTCGCAATCATCGCCCTTCTTTGCGTGCAACGACGTGGCTGTGCGGCTATCGAGGATGCAATCGCAGTCGTCTCCCTTGTTGCGCGGAACTAGCTTGTTGCCATCGAGGATGCAGTCGCAATCATCGCCCTTCTTTGCGTGCAACGACGTAGCTGCGCGGCTATCGAGGATGCAGTCGCAATCGTCGCCCTTGTTGCGCGGACCTAGCTTATTGCCATCGAGGATGCAGTCACAGTCGTCACCCTTCTTTGCGCGCAACGACGTAACTGCGTGGCTATCGAGAATGCAATCGCAGTCGTCTCCCTTGTTGCGCGAAACAAGCTTGTTACCATCGAGGATGCAGTCGCAATCGTCCCCTCTACTGCTTTTTCCTGCTCTGATGTTTTTCTCAGCCGGTAGCGCAGTGGCTTCCCCTGCCGCAGGCTTCTGCCCGTCTAGTATGCAGTCGCAGTCGTCGCCCTTGTTGCGAGGCACAAGCTGGCCTTTGCTGTCGAGGATGCAGTCGCAGTCATCACCCTTAGCTGCCACCTCAACATCTTCTTCATCTGAAGATGCTGTCGTCGACTTGTCATCGTCGCAATCACAGTCGTCGCCTTTTCTTGAAGGCAAGAGTTTTCCGTTATCATCCAGCACGCATTCGCAATCGTCTCCTTCCGTTTGCTGGCGGTCAAAGGGTGACTGCATCTCAGCCGGCAAATCCGCTTGCGACGGAAGTCGCATCCCAAGCGAGCTCGAACATGACCACGACCATGCAGTAAGCAATATCAGTGGTCTTCGCATTCTGTTGCTGCTTCTACACGCCTTTCTCATGTCCGTAGAGAAATATGAGGAGTTTCTTCAATAAAAAAGGAGTTTCTCTCGTGATCCTGAAAGCGTCATCTGCTGGTAGTTGGAGTGATTGAAGATACTCACTCTCTCAGCACAAGCTCGAGTGCTCTGTCGATTGAGTAGAGAGAGAGACCTCAAAGTACGTCTTTATAAGCCTTGGCTCTTCTCTCAAATAATAGTCTCTTGAAATATTAGAAGAAGCCACGAATCGCGCAGGTACGGACAAAAAATCGCTCAAAGCCCTCGCAGCATCCACATCCACTTTCACCGTCAGCTCGAAACAAAATTCACGAATCACTACAAGTACAAGGACATCAAAGAACAGCTTTAGTTTGGATGATTAGTAGAGCTGCATGTAATTGAGAGGTGAATTCATCTCACGTCTTCTGCATCTCATTTATTTTTGAATCAGAGGATGTTGTCCTTGTTGCAGTTGTACTTCCCCTCTTTGTTGCCAAAACTGGCGTATCAAAATCCGCCAGCCGACTCAAGTCGTATTTCTCTAATGGTTTTCGAATGCAGTCTTGGTATGTACTCCAGTATCCTTGACACACGTCCGTTGTGTCTCCCTTCAGGAAGGAATGGGTATACCACATATGAAAACATCGTTCGTATTCGTTCTTCTGTGGATAACATTTTGAGACATCCTCAAGATAAGCCTCGTGGTCCACGCTACTAGACGAGGATGAGCTACCAGATGATGAGTTGGAAGAGGAGCTAGTAGCTTGGGTGCTAGACGCCATCGAGATGTTGTTGCTCTTTTCTGCTGCAGTTGGAGTTGACGAGGATGCACATGATACGGTGGCCAACAAAGACGATGAGCTACTCTTCATCGGCGGCATCGCGGCGGCTAAATTGGTACCTTCAGGTGATGAAGAAATAGATGTTGTCGTGATGTCTTTTGTCGCTGTCAGTGCCGCATCGTCCGTCGATGATGAGCCCGACCATGGCAGCCAACCGAAGACTCGTTTCCCAATGCCGTCCCCCTCACCCATCTTTCCTTCATCCACAAGCACAACAACAGTTTGAATAACACCACTCTTTGCACAATAATGTAAAACACGTAGTGTGTAACGCGTAGGTCCACGGGTACTGTCATTCAAGAGCATAAGAACAATCGCTCCAACAAAAATAAAAACTAGAAATGCTGCACAACCTAAGAAACGTTTACAGTCACACTGGACACTTAATCTATGTATAACGATGAGCACCGAATGTCTTGTAGACGTCAGCAAAACCGGAGACATAGCAATATCATAGAGCGAGCAACTTAAGAAGCGTAGATGAAGGGACTTTGTTCTGATCGATGTGCGGATTTTCAGAAAAAGAAAGGTTGAGTAATCTGTAGCACCCATGCAACAACGGTTCTTATTTTTTATTCCTGCTCCTTCCGATGAAATGAAAGGAAGGAATATGGATCATGCAGCTTGTCTGAACTTCGTCTGTCCTTCGCACGGTAGATTACTAACTCTGAAGCTGAACAATGGCCAATACAACACAATTAATCTCGCACAGCGTTCAGTGCAGACTCCCGCGCGGCGTCATAGTGTTTCGTCACGATGCTTACTTACACAAGTTTTGACTACTTAAGTAAACTAACAACGGCACGGACCTGAGGAAAGAAGTGACAAGAAACTTACACCGACGACACCTCTAAGCAATAGCTTCGATCTACTCATCACAAGCACACCTAAGGAATGGCTAAGACAGAGACTCGAGATCTGTGCAACTTCTTATTTTATTCTTTAGAGAGCCTGAAATACTGAGAACCTTAGGGTAGGACCTGGAGCGCTTCCATATCCTTATCAACTTGCTTCAACAAATAGTAGTAAGTAAGGCAAACCGTAAACAAAAAAAACCATCACAATTGGCGCTAGCAGAAGACTCGACTTTTGTAAGAAAATGTTGAAAGGAAGATCTGTTTTTTTTTCACAGATTCGTCACATGATTGATCCTCCATGGAATTTCATTGATAACGTGGAACAAAGCGCATTGTTGTCAGAAACACGACCAACGATATCTCGTCACGGTTGCCGTATCCACACGCCGGCGAATCAAGATCAACTGCATGTTGGCATTGCTTTTGTGGACTAACCAGCACGGCGACTCAGAGAAACGCCACGCTAGTTGTTTCTGTTCTTCAACAACAACAAAACATTTCTAGTTGTGTTATGTCCCAGTGTAACCGAGGCCACGACGGCCGCTTGTGTATCCAAGACCTGCATACGAGCCGTCTTCGTTCATCACACCCTCTGTATCCAAGTCGTTCAATGCGCGCTGTTTCTCCTCCATTGTCATCTGAGTCCAAGCGTTGGACAACGGTATTTCTTGTGATTGTTGACTAGCGGCAACAAAGAGAGGTCGCTTAGTTGCTGCAGCACCTTCTGATGTACTGTTGGTATCCTCCTGTAACATTTCTTCAGAATGTGCATGTTGCGCGTGTGCCGTTTCATCCACCGCCATCTTCGAAGCAAACTGTCCTAAAGGTGCGCCAAAAAACAAGCGTTCTCGAGCTGCCTTCGGATCTTCGGCAAGCTGTCGTCCCTTTTCTAACATGTCAGCGCGTTCTTTGCGTTTCACATCGGCTTCCTCTTCCACCCTCGCGTCCATGTAGATCGCGCCATATCTTTTCCGTCTTTTCTGTGCAAGATCCTCATACAAAACCTCAGTTTCGCAGCTGCGCTTCAAATTACGCCCAGTCTGCGTCGCCGATGAAGAATTCATGGAGGATCCACCCCCCGACGATGAAACCGAGCCTCCTCCCACTAGCTGTCGTTTTAAACTTCGCTGCGCCTTTGCTCGCTGAAGTCGCTCTAGGAGGGCCCCTTGCAAGTCCGCTTTTCGCTCCGCTTCGGTTGCAGATATCTCGGTCGAAGAAGTGGCAGCAGACGTGATTGAAGGTCCTTGTTGTGCACCAGTACCTGTTCTTACTGACAAAGAAGACACGTTACTAGCATGATTTCCTGTACTCCATCCCCTCGCGTCGATCAAAATATTTGCCGGCACAGCGTAGCACGCGACCGCACCGCGTGCAAGCCATTTGATGCTGCCGTCCGGGATGAAAATCAGTGAAGTATCCTTTCGTGATGTCAAGTCTTGACCTGGTCCTGGTTGAGAATCACGGGAAGGTGCTATGACACTCCAACCTCGCCTTCTAGAATCGCGATGGAAAGACGCTGTATCTTCAAGGCCCCTGCCTGCCGAGGAGGATACAACACGTTCAACGGCTACACGCTGGTTCTTCACAACTGCATCTTCTCTCGACAATATTTCTTCGAGGCGTTTTTTCAACAGATGTCCGCTTTCTTCGATTTCTTCGTCTTCATTGCCGCTCGACGTTAACGGGACTACAGCGCTATCGTCGAAAATTGCAATCCTCGTGCAATCATCATCTTCTTCGGCCAAATTTTCTTCAGCATGTGCCTTTTTCATCTTGTCCTCAGTATTTTCCTGCTGCTGCTCCGTATCGTCTTCCATTTCAACCTGTAGAATCAAGTGCTTGCTAGATCTTGAGCCGTTCATGTCGAACATGACAAGGGACGGATGCCCTGCAAGGATTGGTATTTCGCTGCCATCCCGCTGCTCTTGGTAGAGAATCTCACTCATTTCATTCCAAAAGTGGAGCAACTGTGTGCTGGAGTCGCGGAGTCCTAGAACGGAGGGCTCTTTCTCTGAGTATCCCGCGTCAAATCGCCATGGTTGCCACTCATCAAAGGCTATTTTGAGACCTCCCGCGGAGTTTCTCTTTCTCGTCACTTGATGTCCCGCACTGCCTTTGGTAACTCTCCACGAGGAGCTGCTCGAAGATGATGAAGATGCGAGATTTTTTGGAAGATCGACAGGGCCATCGGGAGAGAAAATGCAACTATCGAAAGTATCCCTACACTGTTCAATCAACTTCACCTCCTCCTGGTTCCCGCCTTCAACAAACTTTTTAGCTTGCTGACCATCGTTCTTCCTGTCCGTCATTTGATTTGCACCAGAAGTGGGCCTTCCAGTCATTGCGAACGAACCTGATCTATTTTCCGGCTCAGGAGACTTGGCAACTCCTGCAATTTGATCAGTGTTCGCGTCGGATCCTCGCTCTTCACCTTCTTCAGGCTCTTTTGGTTTCGTCCATCCTTTCAAGTTCCAAAGGCTTATCGGAACATGAGGAGGCTCCAGCGCGATTTGTTTTGCTTCAAACGCTGCTCGTATGTTCGCTTCGTCCATTTCATCGCTTCCCCCATCATCTGGAAAGAACTCGTTATCGTCGAAAAAAAGCTCCAAATACGGGTGAAACCAGAGACCCGTGCGCTTTTGAAACCGCCACGGAGGCTGTGGACATCCTCCTCCTCCAGTGAGGTGCGGGTGGTCTCTTGCCTCTGCTCCAGCGCCCCTACCGATACCTGATGATGTAAATGAAGTAGCTCCTCCACCTCCCTGACCGAGGAAGCAGTTGATAGCAATTTGCTCCCACGATGACTGAGCACGCCCAGGAGCTTGTTGAGGAGGGCCATTCATGCTTGCGGCTTCGTCATGTGCTTTCTTGCTTATCTTCGAGAACAAAATCTAGTAAGCATGTTAGTGGGCTGTTGCTGCAGTAGCAGGATGATCTCTAGTCAGCAACCTAGTACATTCTTCTAGAAGTGAAAAATGGTAACTAAAACTAAAAGAACTAGTACTCACTTTTCACTAACAAGTTCTTTTCGGTCGCGAGACTTTCTTTTGGTGTAGAAGCTTGTACCCTGTTGCGTCCTAAGACGGAGTGACATAAATACCTAGCGTCGGCGGAAACTTATGAATGCCTACTTCTTGTCAACCATTACAATCATCGCAGGCTAAACTACGAAGCCTCGCTCTGTCAGACCGCTTCACTAGGGAAGTTGAGCCTTATTGATTCATCACACTTCTATAGTTGGTGTGTTAGAATCTCTTTACTTGAAGAGTTTTGCATTTGTTTTGATTTCTAAATTTTGAATTTTGATTTTATATTCTGCCTATATTTGATTTAGAGTTTTGAGGATTGATTTTGAGTTTTGATTTTTGAATTTTGAAAACCAACACCCGCGGCGATAACACCGCAAAAACGCGCAGCGTTTTGCGATACTCATGAACTTTGAAAGTTAGGGCATGAGTTGCGAAGTTTAAGCTTAAGACATGGTCGAACTTCGAGAGTTAGGAAATGAATTGCGAAAGTTAGGACATGGATGAATTGCGAAAGTTAAGTTAGGAGATGAGTCCGAAGCCGAAAGTTAGGACACGAATTCTGAAAGTTACGGCCATGAATAAATTCCGATAATAGGTGAGCAAGGAACTCTAAAAGTCAAGGCATGAATTTTGAAAGTTTGTTAGGCCATGAGTTTGAAAGTTTAGCTAGCCCATGAATCTTGAAAGCTAGGCCATGACATTAGAAAGCTAAGGCATGAACTTGGAAGGTTCGCGCTGGCGCCGCGCTCTCCTCTCACCCAAGCCCGTGGCCCACGCTGCCCGACGGCGCGAGGCAGCGGCCTCATGCAGTCGCGTCGCTTGCTTGCGTGCAGTCGCGTCACTTGCTTGCAGCGCCGCGCCCCACGCGCAAGCGCAGCGCCCTAGTACACCTCTGAACCCCCGCGGGCCGGCGTGATCTCTGAATGCCTCAGACCCCAGCGAGCAAATCCCTAAGGCGTGGCATGTGCCTGCTTATGCCTTCCGCTTGAAGATAGGCCCGCAGGCACTTCCACCCCTGCCAGGCGTCCACATATCCCCCGGAGGCAAACGCCCGCAGTAATAAGGCTCGCCGCCCCGCGGCAACGCGCCCGATGACGCCCCGCCAAGGCTGGCACTTCCCGGGCTTTTTCTCAATCGTGGCGCCTCTTCAAGCATGTCCGCGCGTGTGTTTTGTCTAGCAAGTGTCCCTGGTTCCCATCGTATCCTTCCCATGGGGAACCACACCAGGGGGCTAGTTTGAATCTAATTCTAAGTCTATACATAGTTGTATACTATTTTTTGATTGGAGAAAAGTTAGAAAGTTTGGTGCACGCGCCCTTTGAATGTACTGACAAGTCAGTGCTTCATCAATGGTGGATCGAAATTATAAGTTTCCGATTTTGTGAAAAGGAGACCGAAGCAGATCCCCTTCTCATCTTCACTGTCCGATCGTTGACGACAGAACATTTTATCTGTACTTATCAAGAATGAATCAATTCGAATTGATGTTTCAACTCGGGAACTCGCTTCTCGGGATGTAGCTGTACAAATTGGGTACAACTATGTATCAGTCGTGTGAACAAGAAAGCGTCGGTGACAAACAACTACAAAGCTCCCTGAATAAAGCACAGAGGTGGGTCTGACCACATCGTTCAATAATCAATTTCAACAAAATATTACAATCACTTTCACGCACATCATTTGTTTCATGATCTTCTGTGTCATACTCTTGTTTGCTTTCAGGAGGGGGCTGCGTGTTGAATGTGTCATAGAAAATAGAGCACGAGCCCCTAAATTGAAACATCCATGATGGCACCCAGTCAGAAGACGAGGAGTGTAAGTGCATGTTGTTTTCTACCAGTCAGAAGACGAGGAGTGTGCATGTTGGCACCCAGTCAGAAGTGACGAGGAGCGTGCATGTTGGCACCCAGTCAGAAGTGACGAGGATTGTTGTTCATTATCTTTTAAATATGAATATTATGACAAGCGAGGAAGATCTAAGAAGAAACAAAAAAGTCTGAAATAGGTTTAGGTGTGTTTTTCTGCCTTTTTTTCAGATATAATAAGAGAATCAATTTTTTATTATGATGAAAATCCACATCCAAATATTCATAGAAATAACATATTATAGCACAACAACATTAGGATACTTGGGAGGAAATACTGTCAACAACGTGTGTCCCAATCCCAAATCATGCATCAATAGAGCAGGTCACGACTTCGTTCATGCCTGAACACTTTGTACCTCCGTATGTGAAATCTGATGAATCAACTGTCGTCTGTTCCAATCCCTACATCTACACCCGTATGTTGTCCTCATGTTAGCTTTACAAGCACAAGTCGAAAAACTGTGTAGAAGGTAATACCAATCTATATCGCAGCGTGTCGCATTTCAATCAGGTGCATCACCTTTCAACGAGTAGTTCGTCCATGCATAGTGTACTGTAGCTATAACAATTTGCTGGCGTTCTTGTTAGTTGCATCTTCTTACTGCATGATCACATGACACCTGCGCTTGAGACGGCCTCATATTAATATGATTCCGTACTAGTAATATGAGTGATCTCATCGCACATGCATGAGCATGCACCATCATACTGTAAGTATTCAAACATCAGACTGCAAGAATGAATTGTTGGAGCCTTGGTATAATACCCTGTGAGTTGACGACGGCCTTGCCCTGACTGAAGGGTGAGCCGTGGTCGAAGCTTCTAGTACTGTGCTCTCAAGCGCGTTTTCAAATAGATGTATCTTCAATGCTTGCATCAATCTGTATGGTCATGGTGAGTTGCCCAGATCAGTAAGTATTCCGATTATGATTATCATTATGATTATCTGACATACAACTAATTGAAATAGAATGTCATCGAGGAAGCAAAGCCTGACGTGCATTATGGTTTCTAGCTTCATGAAAACGCGCCGGTCGTTATTTATTGGTCATTCATATATTTACCTGCTGATCTCGTCTGCCCTCTTCGATCATGAATCTTATAAAAAGACCACATGATCACTTCTTAAGTACTTTCTTCACACGAGTCTCACACACACAATCCACCACTGATAGTGGAACTGAGGGCTTCAGTTATCTGGAAAAATGACGCCGCGCTCGCTCGCACTTCTACCGCGCTGGCAACGACACTTTCGTGGCTCCACGACGAGTTCGAAGCAATTCTTATTCTACTCAAGACAACGACAAATCAATCATCTATTTACATCCAACTTCATTTTGTCACCGTAGCAAATATACTCTTTTAAAGTCAGAGCCTGCCTCCCTGTAAGCCTAAAAATCCTACTTCGATCATGCTGCGGCCTCGAGCTTTCAGAATTCCAAGGAGAGACTCTTGTCGCGATACAAAGATTGTAGCCAACGATCATACAACTCAATTCATACACATTCCTTTTTTTGTATCGCGAACAAATTCCGAATAGAACCTGCCTACATATTTTCCGCGCAGCTACTGGCGTAGGAGGGAGTTCTTATGAATGTTACTTCCCTGCTTTCCTCCTACCAGTTGTTGCTGCAGCTCCTCCACCTGCTTCGGCTTCCTCGCCTCTATGTTGATGAATGTAGTTCCATGTTGTAGTTTTAGTAAGTACTTACTTATTTCATCTTTTTTTATCTATCAGGTTCGTTCAGGTCTCCGTAGTATTAAGATCAAGAGCATGAGCATCAGCGTCATGTGTGCATCCCTGACGATGTTGTTCCTAGCACTCATAGGTCACATAATTTTTTTTACAAATTCTCTGTCTCTGTTATATCTGAGTGAAAATAATTAACAGAAGACGTAGTCAGCCCAAACGTTCGCATCACGACTCAGTTGTGATCTGCGCGTGTGAGTGACGGGGACATCTTAGACGTGCACGGTTCTTGTAATTCGGTGGGATAGAAGTGGTAGCAATTGCAATCTCTAACTCTAGAGCATACAAATAAATCAAAGAGAGCACATATTTTTACAATACATAGGAATCCCTAGTCGCCTCGTCGGGGTGAATTCTCGACAAGCATCAATGCTTGTATGCAGGAACAAAATTGATACCATGAAGAGAATAGATGATACACCACGACGAAAATACACACAGAACGTCGCAAATTATCTCCGATAAGAAGTTGTAACTCCAGGGTAAATGTCCTGAATCTCAAACATCCATAAATATTAACTCTACACATGTAAAGCCGGTGGAACTAACTATAAAAGACATGGAAACAAGTTGTGACGTGAGAAATTGATACGATAGATACACCTACCGGCCGAGTCCAGTAGGTTATTTTGAGGATCCGTCTAAGTAATCTGGGCGCCGCATGGAACTACTGTTGCGCGTATAAATGAAGGCTCAGACGTTGATACTGACCAATTATGCGAGCGAATTTGCCAGATGACCTGTAGGACAACAAGGAAAACGAGTATCAATGCCACGAAATCAAATGCTATTGGGATTACATTTCTTCTACATAGTTACGCTTAGGCTACTTATTCAAATTTCATTCCTGTCTTGCTCTTGGTGCTGTGAAAAGCGGGCAATCGCAATAAATATCAAAATATCAAAACACATCAGGGTGCTGTGGAGGGCATGTCGATCTCGATGTCTTTCTGTGTTATAATTGGGATTAGCTATTTTTTGCTTTATTAGACTTTTCGAAACACCAGAACTATGATAGTTCCCGTCTGGTGTTAGTTTCACAAGATATAGCCAAAAAGCGGGAGCCAAAGCTCTAAACAGAGTCTCGCGTAGGGCGCCGGACAAAAAGAGCGCGAGTGTTCCCTGCACAAATTCCCCCCGATCCGAATAAAACGGTTAGGCTGTTCCCACGGAACCACGCAGACGCAAGAGAAATGTCGAAAAAACCAATCTGAGTTCCTCCTCCCTGTAGAAAGGGGATCTATCTAACAAATTCTAAATCTTCTACGATGATCTGAAGGTGAAATCATTGTGGATTCTACTTATTTAGCAGATCATGACGATGATACTCGCTGGTGCTCGTGCTGGATCGACCATCATCTTAAAAAAAAGCTCATCCAGAATCACAAGAAATTGGGAACAGGTATCGTGAGTGTGAGAAAGTGAGTGAAAGCTATTGCTGAGCTCTAGTATGATCTAGTAAGACTAAGAGAGGTACGACATAATTTTTTTTCTCTTTGGAATCATTCTGGGTAATCGATCAATGTAGTCCTCGTACTTCTTTCACATTTTATGCTTTATCATTTTGTTTTAATTGTTTCCCATTCGCTCTCCATGCATTATCTCCACCAACAAATACAAACGAATAAATATAATCATGCTTGCTTAAATTAATATCTATATCAATTCCAAATCTTCAAGTCTTCAATGGTGCTCCTGTGAAACATTTTCGTTTTCCTTCTCCAAGTGCACTCCAGTTCAATTCACTGAGCTGCAGCTTGAGACGACGCGGACCACTTCGGGTATGGAAGCACGGCAGTTTGCTCGGACCAGACGCCCAAAATGTGATGCAATTCGTTCCACTCGCGGCGATTCTCGCGCAGGTACTCTTCGACGTTATGCGCCTTCAGGAAGTCCTCACGGCGTTTGTCGATACGCTGCTTCGAGATGTCACGGATGCCCTGGAAATTCTCGTAGAGCAAATCTAAGCCGCCAATGTAGTCACTCCACTTACGAATCTCGACCGGTACTAGAGCCAGTTTTTCTTGGATCAGCGCGTAATCTTCCGGAGAGCGCCAGAAGTAGAGATACACGGAACAAAAGAGCTTCGCCATCTCGACCACACTGCTGCCGAAGACACTGTTGAAGACGTTGTCGTCGATTAGCGCATCCGCGAGGTACATGAAATTGGTATCAAGGTAGTTGCAACTGTTGACGGCGTTGTACGGAGTCAAGATCGGGATCAATTGCGCGTTGCGCTCGAAGCCGGTGCACTTGATCACAATGTCGCAGGGGAGAAAAGAACCGCTGTCCTTGCACACGATGCCGTCCTCACGGAAGTAGTCGATTTCGTCGGCCAGCGAATCCAAAATACGCAGGTGGTGGCCGATAAACCAGATGTCGGATACCGAAATCGTGTGACCGTAGTGCTTGATCTCCTTCATCCAGCACTCGGGCATCTTGGCACCGGTGCGCTCGTACAGACTGCGCCATGTGATCATATTCTTCGTATTGGTAACGGAATCGTGCCCTAAGTTATCCCCACTATTTTTGTTCACGAAGTTGATGTAGTCGATGTACTTCGGGCAGACCTGGGAGATGATTGTGTCAGGCATCAAGCTAGAGCTTCTTGCACATGATCATCATCATGACGAAAAAAAAACATAAATAATAGAACATATTAAATACAACAAACTTCTAGATGATCTTTCACTTGATCTGCCAGGGCAATTTCAATAAGTACATTGGTAGCCCGTTGTACGAGATGCGGTTGCAATGTACGAACATACAAGAACGAAGTTGCAAAAAAAGAAACTGTTGCCTTTCTGAAGGCAAACCATATTCAACATGATGCCCTACCTAACTATGCTAGCACTCGTTGTTCAGTCTCGTCTTTATCTAAGTAAGTGGTTAAGTACAGTTCCATGGCGTCTGGCTAAGATAGTCACGCTTGCTGCGCCCATCTCCATTGCTGTGCGCAAGTTCTCCGTAGCGAACGCGCCCATGCCCACGATGACAACTTTCTTGCCGACCCAGTCCAAATCTGCCGCATCGTTCGAAAAACCATCGCGGATTTCACCTTGAAAGACCTCCTGTCGCGGCCACTTGACTAGTCGCGGCTTGCCGACGCGGTCATTGATGGCCATGATGCAACCCTTCGAGCGCACGATGGAACCGTCTTCCAGTCGGACACGGTACTGCGTGCCTCCGGTAGCTGCGCTTTCTCCGGTCTTGTCCACAAACGACACGGCTGCTTTCAGGAACAGACGATCGCCCAGACCGGTAGCAACAGTCACCGCATCCGTGAGAATCTCGCGTGTGGTGCTGTGGTCCTTGTTCGTGTTCACCTTATCTAGCAGACGGTAGGCCGCTTCACTCGTGTTCACCTGGGAACGCTCGTTCGCGTAGTGTTTCCAGATGCCAGCGATGTTCTCGTCCTTCTCGAGGAGACAGAAGTCGATGCCGGCCTGCTGCATCTCATGGGCGACGTGCAATCCCGTGATGCCCGCGCCAACGATCACCACCTCGTACTCGCTCTTCAATTGCTTCTTCGAGTTCTCCAAGAAGCGCTTCTCCATGCGCAGCTTGTAAGGATCGAAAACAATGCCGTCGCGCACGGTGGCCATAATCGTGTCAAAGGATACGGCATCGCTCCCGGGAAACTTCAACACCTTCTGCGGGTAAGCTGCGCTGTACTCGAGCATAGTCTGCAGCTCTTGAAACGACGTCAAGGCAGCATTCAGTTCGTAGCCTTTGCGCCCAGCGAGCTCTGAAGAAAGTGAAAGATAGTCTCAATTTCATAGCACGCAACAAAAGTCAAAGCTGAAATTCGGGTCATGGAGCTCTCTTTTACAGCAAATCTTCAGTATCACGGTCACGGTCTCAAATAAGTCAAGGAGAAGGAGAATTGAAAATCTGAATACTGTCTCCGTTTTCCTTTCCGCGTACTTCGACAAAAAAGGCGGGCAGCTCGGTGTAAGACTTCATGTGGGAAACCACAGCCCTGACGTCCTCCTTTAGCAAGGAGTCCGGCACATAGCGGATCTCAAAGGTTGGTAGGTTCCGCTGCGGCGGCTCTCCGAACCAGTAAATACGCGCACGGGCGCGTGGTTCAAAGAGAGAAATACCTGAGAAAGTTAATATAATTTAGAAAGAAGTGAGGACCCGGATTGTTCAGATCAGGAGTGGCAACTAGTGATAGGCGAAGATTGATAGGAGAGTCAGAGACAGAGAAGATGATCATGATGGTGATACACATACGCAGAGCCGTATTATAACCCAAAATCGAGAACAAGGAGCACATGAATTAACTTCGTGTACTTCCGAAAAGCGAATTTTTGTACTTCAAAGATTACCGTTGAAGAGAATGCTGCTTGCAATTCTGGCTCCGCGGACCAAAGACCGCATTTTCATGACCACGATCTCCGTGTTCGAGTTCGACTCGGACGTGGTGGCGAAACCACAGTCCGTTCCTGCTTTGACGCGGTCCGGACCGACCATTTGTGCCAGTTTACAGAGGCGCTGAGCCACCAAGTTCGGGTTCTCGACGTGCGGCGAGCTGGTATCGACGCAACCCAGAGTGATCACCGCGTTGTGGATTTGAGCAATGGCGTCAATCTCGTGGTTGTGGCGCGGGTTCGCGTTCTCGATCAGCAGCTCAGAGCACCGAATCAGATTGAGGTTGTCGACGATCTTGTCGAGCGGAATGTCGCGATGATGCGAAAAGCCGTAGTTGCCCCAGCAGATGTGTACACGCACCTGCGACGGCGGCAAGCCCTCGATCGACAAGTTGAGAGCATTGATTAGGGTCTTTTGAACCTGAATGAACTCGCGGTCAGACATTTTTTGGAATTGTGTGTGGCGACCCATGGCCAGATCCGGACAGTCGATCTGCAGAGTGAAGCCACGTCGCACGACCTCGCGGTATTCGTGCGCCACCGCTCTCGCGAGGGCCTCCAGGTACTCCTCATCAGTCGTGTAGTACGTGTTTTTGAAGAACAGAGCAAGCGTTCCGGGACTCGGGCAGCTGTAGAAAGCGCTTGAGGGTTCCGTTCCGTTTCTCCGCAAGGAGTGCTCGTACTCGTCGAGATACTTGCGAATGTGTGTGGCGTTGTGGTACGTGACCTCCCCAACGCACGCAGGGTTCAGAGCTGGCAAACGACGGTTCAGCGTGATCAGACTGCTTTTCCCCATGAATCGTCGCGCGCAGTTCGGGCACTCGGCCACATCGTGCGGCATGTGGGCGAGCGAGGCTTCGTGTCCAGCACCCAGACTCTTGAAACCAGTTAAACGGGATAGTACCTCGTCAGCGTAACTCGCTCGATTGACTTCGCCGTCGTTGACGATATCCAGACCAATGTCAATTTGCTGGAAAATGTGGTCATAGCTGGTTGCACCGAAGGAACGCGGCAGTGAACCCACATGGGTGGTCAGGATACCACGGCGCTTCTTCTGGAACGGACGCGTCAGGTAGTAATCGAAGGATTCAAGGTCTTCAAAACCGACGCCCTTGGCTTTACCAGCAGTAGTCGGAGCAGTAGTCGAAGGGGCTGCAGCTGGCTTGGCACTGGCTACGGGTGCAATCGGATCACAAACGGCGCTGGCACCTAGTTTGTCCATGAAGTTATTCATCTTCGTCGACGGCTGCGGGGCTGCTTTGGAAGATGCGCTGGATTTACCTACCGGGGACGCAGGCTCGCCCTCCATCACCTCCATCATTTTTAGTTGCGGGCTGCTCGCACTCGCTTTCATCTCGATTAGATTGACCACCGACTGATCGACGTTTCCACTTGACAGGATGAAGGTTGCCAGCTTGTCGACGCTCACGCCCTCAATCAGGAGGTCGCCGTTGTTGGCTGTGGTGCCGAAAGTGCGGTCCATCTGCAGAAACAAGTCCGTGATGGCAAGCGAATCCAGTCCCAGGTCCTGCAGCGGCGCGCGAGCTTCCGTGCTTTGCACACCCATGGTCTTGAGCATACCAAATAACTTCTGAGTTACGACGTGGTGCGAGAGCTTCTGCCGCGTGCTTACCGCAGTCGCGTCCGAAGCAACGCTTGCCATGCTGCCGATTGCGCGCATCTTTCCAGGTTGCATGTTGGGCAAAGTTGGCGACATGATAACCGGAGACGACGCTGCAGCATTAGGAGAATCCGGCGGCAGCGGCTTTTGCGACACCACGGTCGTCGCTCCGCTCTGCTCTCCTGCCTCCAGGGCTTCCATCTCTGCTGCTCCAACTGGAGCGCTTCCACCCTTGGAAACAACGACCTGTGCAAGCATCGCTGCGCTGAGAGAAGCGTAGTCAACCTCCTCCAGCAGTATTTCGGTACCAAACTGCTGCTGGATTTGCAGAAAAAGGTCTGTGACGCTCATGCTGTCCATCCCAACTTCCAAAAGCGGAGTGGAGACACGGTCAGCAATTTGCACGCCCATTTGCGAAATGATGCGAACTAGCTGTCGCAGGACTGCACCTATGTTGTTAGAAGCAGCGTAGTTCGCGGCCCCGTTCGCCGTCGTGGCAGGTGGTGTGCCGTCGCTTCCGTCGCAACTTCCAGGTCGACAGTCTTCAACATCTGGACGTTTGAGATGCACAAACGAAGACACGTCACTCACATCAGACACGGAGCTCTTCACACTCATGTTCTTCGGCTTGGTCACGAGCAAAACCTCCGGCGGGGAATGTTTGTCGGTGCTCGAAGCCTGCTGCATGAGTTTTGTGATATCCACGCGGCCGCCCGTTTTGGATCCCGGCGCAGTTAGAACGATGTGCGCGTTGCTTCCGCCAAAACCAAATGAAGAAACACCTGCGAAACCCAACCTCGCTGGAGTCAAGTCCTTCGCTGGGACCATCCACGACGGGCACTTCAGGCCGGGGTTCAATTTGCGTAAAAGCGGATTGCCGAAGACCGCCTGTGCTTGCAAGGACAGCACCGCTCGCAAAAGCCCAGTGACGCCAGCACCCGATTCCAAGTGGCCAAGGTTGGCCTTCGCGGAACCAAGATAAAGAGGCTGAGTACGCTTCATCTGCGTCTTCTTCATCTGCAGAGTAGCGAGACAGGCGCGCGTAATTCCGTCAACCTCAATTGGGTCCCCGATGCGAGTCCCCGTGCCATGACATTCCAGGTAGTCCAAATCGTCGGTTGTGATTCCAGCGTTCGCACAAGCAGCAAGAATGAGTTCGCTCTGCGCAGCAGCCGACGGCACAGTGATCAGTGGGGAGTAGCCATTGTGGTTGCTCGCGCCACCCGCTACCTCGCAGTAGTAGCTGGCCGGCGCAAGCTTCTCACCTCGGGACAACACCAAGACAACGCAACCTTCGGATCGCACGTAACCATCTGCAGAGTCGTCGAACGTGCGGCATCGCATGGATTCGCCCAAAAACCCGCCGCGCTTCATGCGATCCGTGAATTCCGGATTATGGATTACGTTTACGCCACCCACAATGGCGTGGTCGATCTTGTTCAGACGCATATCGTCCATGGCGCGTACCACGCACTCGAGCGAAGAGGCACAGGCCGTGTTCACCACGATGCTCGGGCCGCGGCAATCCCAGTGACTGGAAATCCGTGAAGCGATAATGCTCGGATTACTGCCCACAACGTCATAGGCGGAGTCCCGGGTTCCCTGAAAGTCCTGGTTCCACACACCCATATACACACCAGTTCGTGGGCCTTTGAGCACGTCCGCGGACAGCTTTGAGTCCTGAATAGCTAGGTCAGCCACGAAGAGCGAGAGCTGCTGCTGCGGATCCATATTGCGGGCTTCAGCAGCACGAACACCAAACTTCGAGAAGTGGAACGGGAAGTCCTCCATGTAACCACACTCGCGATGATGAAAACCTTTCTCGAGGCGCACTGCGTCGCGGCACTGCTCAAAGAACACTTTCGCATCGGCCGGGGATGAGATTGCGCCAGGAAGCCAGCAGCCCATACCAGTGATTACGATGCGACTGTTCGAAGAACCGCCAGCCCCAGCTGCGCCAGAGAGACCCAGGAGTTGCGTGTTGCTAGATCCTGCCTTATTGTCGCCGTAGCGAGTCCACAATTCGTCCAACGTGTGGTACGAGTACAGATCACCAGGCTGCAGACCGGGGAAGAAACGCTGAAGCTTCGAGGAAATCTCGGTCAAGACCAAGGAGGTCATTCCCTGCTTCAGCCAGGGTAGCGCCGGATCGAAGCGGGGGAACGAGGTCAGCACCGTGCTGGTGAGGAAGTGGCGCAACTGCATAGCCACACGCTGCGGCAGTTTTTCTGCACGCTGCGCCACGATGTAGTGAACAGCACTGGCCTCGTTGCGGTTCATGCTGTGCACGATCTTCAGCGGTGGGAATTCCGGAATGAACGCCGCGCAAATAGGATGCGCTCCGATTTCAACGACCCGAAAATTGCCGCTCATCGCGATGTTGGCCATTCCGGTGGACGACTTCAAACGCGTCTCGGCATCCCCGAGTCCAAGCATGGAAACTGGGTTACACAGCCACTGTGCCCAGTACTTCTCCGCGTCGTAATCCTGTTGCGACATCCATTTTCCGGTACACGAGCTCCAGAACGACTTCGAATCTGCCCCATTTTTAGTAGAAGTGGTAGTGCCAGAAGCACCAGATGAAGGAGCACCAAGCGGAATCTTTCCGACCGGACGCACCGAGGGGTGGTGCCAGCAGTGGTTCACAGCGAGCTTCTTCGCGGACGGGTTTGCTGCTTGAAAGGCCTCCCACGACCCGTCATCGTTGCGTCCGCACACCGTCACATGCCTCTTCTGACTCGTCAGCGACACGAAGTTCTCACTGGCAACAAAGCATTTGCCGTTAGTGTCCTTGTTGCCGGTAGCCTTCTCATCCTTCACATTCTTCGGCTCATAGCAACTGGCCATCCACCCGCCAAAGGGCTCCATTGCAGATGCGATCCACACGGCCAGACGACGAACTTCATCTAGGGAGTGGATGCCGCATGCGTACAATGCCGCCAAATCCCCAAGAGAGTGCGATGCGGCTAACTTGGCTGTTGTATGGTCGTGGAAGCAAGTAAATTATGATAGTGATGTAAGCACACAGAAGCTCTACTGCCCTGTACATAAAATCGTGGAACACGACTTATAGCAGAATAGTTTATACATAAGCTTTTGTGGCGTGCATGGCATGGAGTGCATGGATCACATGGAGTAGCATGGAGTGGCAAGAATCTTGCCAGCCCCCACTTCTACTCCATGCACCCCATGCGTGAAAATTTTGCGGGGTGCCCTTCGGGCACCCCTTTGCCCGAGACTCGTCCGCTGCAGCCCTGTACTGCAACGATGAGACGATGGAGCGGCCGACTCGAGGACGAAGCACCACGCCCACACTGGCCGGCAGTCCGGGCTTGCTGCTGCATAAGTCTAGGCGCCCTGACACACATTGCTGCCCCTGGTGGTCGTTGCCAGGTACTTCGGTGCCCGGAAATTTCGGCAAAGGGCCCAGCAAGTCGCATCCTCGGGGGGTTCACTCCTCTTCCGGAGCAAGCCTTGCTACTGCTGCACCGCTCTAGGCAACCACACGGGGCTGACCCATGCAAAAAGTGGAAGAGGGGGGCTGTGTATGTGTGTCCCAGGGCTCAACCAGGGCGCAATACCCATCCCCGACCTAGGAAGGCGAGGAGGGAACCTCTCAGCCCCGGCGGGACCCCTTTTGGCGGGGTCTGCCGGGCTGAAGGGGCGCCTTTCCTGCATGTACCCCGCAGAACCGGAGGCCGGGGGGGGCTCGTCGAAGGCCGGGCTCTCAAGCGGGAACGGCCCGAGGCTCACAGTGACGTCCTCTACTGGGTCCGCAACCATAGAAAGCGGACAGGCGAGGGGGGAGGGCCTCTCAGTCCTGGGCCGCTTTTGCGTTGCGCCGCTGCTCCATCGATCGACAGGAGGGGAGCGGCTGATGGCAGAGGCTAGCGCGCCACCTCGTGCTCCATGCACTCCATGCGTGACACGCGGCCACCCCATGCACTCCATGCGTGGGAGTGGCGCAAGTGCTCCATGCACTCCATGCACCATGCGTGCTACAAACTGCTCTGTTATAGATACAGTTCCGTAGGGTCGCATAGGAATCATGATAATTCGATATGGTGGATATATTATAGTACACCTCGGAAAATACAAAGATGAAGAAAACTTGTTGCTACATCGATTATTCGTCTCCTTTGTTCTCGGCCATGGACACGGAATGATCTTCGTTTTGATGTTCACAAGGACGGGGAAGAAAAAGTAAAAGATGCGTGCGTCAAACAACAATATTCAAAAAATGATCATAGGGATAGGTGGATTATAGAAGCAGTATATTAGACTATAATAGTACCCGGAGCAGACGAAAAAATGCCCCATTCTTTACTCCACAGATCGAAGAGGGAGGTCTGAATAGCTGCGAGGCGGAGGATCTCTTTCTCAGTGGGAGTAGTCGCCGCGTCGAGGAATTCCTGCCAGTACTGCCAGGTCGGGCTTCCCTCGAGGGCCGACGTGTCGTCAAGCTCGCCATTGCACACACCGACGCCCGTAAAGAAAAACAAAACTTCCGTGCTGCCACTCCCTCCAGGAGCAGCAGCGGAAGAGGAGACTTGGCTCAGTGAATTCGAAGGCATTTTGTAGTTTGTTTGTTTCCTTGCACTTCAAGCTTTCCAAAAACAAAATTGTGCAACTTCTTCAATCTTAATATTAATACGCTCTGTTCTACTAGCACGAAGTTGGAAATTTCCAAAGGGGGTTTACAAAGGGTGGAAAGAAATTGCGGAAAATAAAAGAAAAATGATTATGATTACTGATACGCCTCCTGCAACAAATTTATTTCCTCAGAACAAGTAGCGTCTGTGTTTTACGAGACAACGAACTACGACTTGGACCTACTTGAACAAAAAGAACAAATTGTTACAATGCTAAAGATAAAAAGATCGCAAAAAAGTAGAGAGATGGGGAGAAGAAAGTCAGTCTGAGTCTAGAATTGAACAAATCAAAAAAATGATCTTTGCGTTATTGATACCTAGAGTCTGATGTGTCGTTACTGAAAATCAATTTGCTCTTACTATGACTATCTACTTAGAAGAAAAAACTCGGTTATTTTTGCAGAGAGCTTTAAGTAGATGGCGTATGCTGAAATTCTGAAATTGATCACTAGATGAGGTCTACACGAAAAGAGACTTCGAAATCAAACACCGCGAGTGAAGGATCAACAAAGACTGATCTACATGCCTGTGTTTCTCTTTCTTCTGTACTCGCAAAATCATCTGCGTTGACTCCACAGCGCGGGCCTTGTTGGATCAAAGTTTTTTTATCCTGACAAAAAAGCAAGAGAAGAGCTGGTGCAAACTGAGTGAGAGGCAAAGATAAAAACATTTATTAGTTGGACGAAGAACTCAACTAAGCGGAAGAGGCCAAGAGTATGGTAAAACTGGCAAATAGCAAATAGCACCGAACTGTAACACAGAGTAGTAAATCACTGGATGAAAATAGACAGCGAGCCAACCTTTATAAACTTACCTGCCGATGACGATGGCGATCACGGTCAGGAAGATGTTTTTTGGCGTTAGTTTTTGGTATCATGTGTTGAGTTATATCACTTTTTGGGCTCAAAAACCGGAGAGAACAATACCCCTAGTAACTAAAGCTCAGAGTGAAACACAATTCCTGCGTGAAATTTGAATTTGGCAAACTAAAGAGTGCGTCAGCGTGCCATTGAGGAAACAAAGGAGTCTGCTACTAAAGATTAATGTGAAAATTCTACTCGTGCTCATCACGAAGATCCTCTCATAAGTTTACAACATAACAGATTGAGTAGGGGCGACTGTCAACAGATTCTCGCCCGAGGGATTTTTTCGCATCTCTCTCGTCATTTTGTTGCACGAACACCCACAACGGCACCTCATAAATTTTTCTTACCAGAGAAAATGAACAAGTCCCTTGTTCACATCACCCACCGTACCCGCACACAGCTTTCTCTCACTGATCTGAATCCTCAAAAGACAGACTCATCGTGGTAACTGGTTCGTTCAACATCACACAGAAGAATACTGCTCCGACTAGTGAAACTGGAACCGAGACGCTATTGAGGAGGACGGCTATGCTCTCATGACGGGTAAAACAATAGCAGCACATGAGGATCGTTCACCAACGTACTTAATAGCACGCACTCAGTCACAATAGGTGATAAGGGGTATGGGAGAAAGCCAAAATGGCTAGGGTCTCGATTTTTTTAAGTACAGTAAGCTACGCTTTCGCTGTGCCAACACATGATGAAGAAAAGCGAGCGCTTGAAGTCGTCCTCTGTCCTATTGCTAGTTCACTATTATGTCTTGTCCTCATGATTTGTGTTCATGTTCGTACATTTAGCAGCGAGGTGTCCTAAAAAGGCAATCAAAACTTGTTCAACAAGTTTGGAGATAGAAATAGAAGCACAATCATCAGAATCTTCTGTGACCTTGCCCCCCCCCACCATCACCAAGACCAACAGAAGAATTAATTATGCAATTGCATTTGATCGCGCTGCCACCTTAGTAGTTCTATAGGCACGCCATTGCCATTCTGACTGCGCATCTGCACACGCCAGCTGTGGTCCTTCTGAAGGTCTTTCCGACCGGTGACACAGAAAGCGTCCGTCACGAAAGGACACCTCTTGAGGATCTGTGACAGTGCAGTGTGCGCTTTTCGTACTTCCCAATCAGCAATGCCAGGACCATAGGGAAGATTCGTGAAAAGCACGATATTAACATCTCCTCGGCGAGGTGCCGGTCGTTCTGGTGCTGGTGCGGATGCAGCATGATGAGAACGCGAAGGTCGCAACATCATATCAAAGTCTCGATAAATGCGTTCTGCTCCCTCTACGGAAAATTCATTTTTCCGAAAGCAAACGCTGTGCACTGGACGCACAGCCTCTCGAAGCTCTGAAATAACACCAGCAGAAATATGTCGTGTACCCCCTCGGGTGTCAGAATCAATCATATAGTCGGAAGGATCCAGCTTCAGATCGTCCAAATATTTGCTGTGGAGGTCCACCTCTTTTTCATTTTCTGTCTTTATTTCCTGTTCTTTTCTTGCTTCCAGGAGATTTGCGAGGCCGCTCTTTTGCATGAGGCGCTTCGTGCTTCCCAAATAAGTCGCGCCAAGAAAGGGATTCGTACCCTCGTCTTCTTCCTCTGCGGCCCTAGGGAGCCGCCGCAGATACGTGTCAAAATTCTGCAATGCAGTTTCCACAGGCGATGTCGAAGTCGCACCGGATGTTGCAGAGCGAGCCCCCTTTGCCCTCGTCCCGATTAGAGCAATTTCACGGCCACCAAAAAGACTGGCCGAAGCGTCAATTGCGGCGTTCTTCTCAATCTGCTGGGTTATCTGTTCACACAGATCTGCTTGGAAATCTTCGTATCTCTCCGCATCGTGACACGGAAAATGTAGCATAGGGTAATTTAGGTTTGGATTTCCAGGTGGTACGGCTTGCAGGAGGCCCAATGCCTCAAGAATCAATGTGCCATCCCCACAAAAAGGGTCCCAGAAAACGGTTAGGGGCAACGCTTCCCTAGTACAGGTTCGAGGTAACGAGGGTAGCGCCGTCGAGTACGGTCGAGTCAGGCTGCTGCGAACTTTCAGAAAGCAAGCAGCTGCAACAGGCGGAGATAGAATTCCAGAAGTCGCGGACGGTGATATGGATGAGTTTTCATGGCTATCGATTTCATTCGCAGCCGTTCTTGGGTTTTTCTTTGCTTCTACTGCAACGGACAAGCTGCTTTTGTAGCACCTGATCGCAGTAGATCCAGAGGCGCAAACACTGAGAAACGCTTTGTTATGCCTCAGCTCGATTCTAACGTTCGAATGACTCTGTTCCGGTAGGTTCTGGAAGCGGTTGTACAATTCCAGGTCCCTTTTAGCTGCTTTCCGTCTCAAGGTCTCCGGATCACGAGACTGTTCCTCTGTACTTTCCACATTCTGTTTCCCATCAGAGCTCGCATTCGCTCCACCACCACGCTTCTTAGCATTTGCTTCTTCCCGCATAGCGCGCTGGGCCTCTTCTCCCTCAGCCATTGCGCTGTCCATGACTCGTCGTCGCACCACGACCATATCCACGCGACGAAGCGGCAGAGAGCGAGCCACAAGTTGGGATACCAACCCCTCGTCTTTAAGTCGCGACTTAGGATCCGAACTGGCAGAAACGAAAAGCCTATTGTCGTCACTCTGGATATTTCTCGTCTGCGCTTGCCCAATATTTATTTCATCTTCTTTATTAACACGGCTTGCTGCACGGCCCGCAGTCTTACCATGAACACCTGGAATCCTGGAAGCAGGCAAAGATATATTATTCTCCAAATCTATCTTCATTTTCGATCGTGTTTTTCTTCCAGGCACACGACCCTTCGTCGGGCAGCTGCTTGGCTCCTCGTCGATCTGCTCCTTGGCTTTCAACCTGGAGCTACGACGCCCACGCCCACCAGCTGAGACACTAGTCATGCCAGACGCGTCTTTTTCCCGCCCAACAGCGCTGGCAGTGCGTGGTTCTGGCTCACTTCTCGTTCGACTTTCTGATTTGGAAAGTTTTTCTGGCTTTTCTTCCACGGCATCCTCGTAGCTCCTGGCCTCGCTTGTTCTAGAAGATAATTGAGTTCCAATTCTTTCCTCTGATCCGTTTTCGTCTAGAAATATCGGCTTCAAGAGCTGTGTAAGCTCATTCTCGAGCATGCGCACTCCTTTCATTAACTCAGCTTCCCCAAACGCCAAAAACGGTGGGAGCGCCACGCGAATCTCAGTCGTCAACCGTAGACAGACACTCATGTGCCATAGAAGTTCGAGACCTCCCTGTACAAATAGCAAGCCTCGACTCCCCACATGAACGACTTCTCCAGGTATTGAGGGGAAGACTCGCTCCTCGAGCTCTTCCTCCAGCATCGTCTCCACACCAGGAGTACAGTAAACTGCAAACTTAAAAATTCCATCAGCACCAGAGGTCGTGGATGAAGATTTCTCGCCTTGTAAATCTATTCTCGCTGATGTACCAGATCGCTGCTCAGGAAAATCGCTCCCACGTCTTTGATTTCGATGTTCAAGATCATCTGCACTGGCGCCGCGCATACCACCAGCCCGATTGCGTTTGTCCTGGTTTGCTTTGTGTAGAGCGTCTAAGCGATCAGCGCGCGCAGAAATCGTATCATAGTCCGGAAAAAGCGGGTCAGGAGCTCTGCGAGGTGTCTGAGGAATGCGCTCTGTGTAACTATTTTCCAGTATCTTACCTTTCGCCACGGCTCGCTTCTCCGATGCGCTGAGTACATTCATCTCCTCCCCAAATTTCGCTTGATTTCGTCGGAAATTCCGGGATCGAGGCGCCCTTATGCCATCGTTTTCGACACCCGCAGCACCGCGCCATCTTGACCCTGCATTAGTTGTCCGTGTGGCAGTGAAAAATTCGTCTGGATCTGCTTCATGCGCATCCATGCCGCCGCCTGTATACAAATCCGTACGCATCCTCTGGATCTGCTGCTCTCGTCCTCCAAGCCAGTCTCGCGCCATATCCCGAAAAAACTCGCTGTTTTCGCTTCCGCCACTTTTTGGCCTAAAACTACCAGGACCACTATTACTTTCAAGCACTCTTCTGCTAGTGGTGCCAGATGTTGAGCTGCTACTGCTGCTGGAAGATGAAGGAGTATAAGTACTGGAGGTTGTTCCAAAAGAAGGCGTTATACCTCGTCCACCGACAGTTGGAAGGTCGTCATCAAATATGCTGCGTGAGGAAGACGAGGAGCTAGGCCTTGAGGTACGCGTGTCCGCTCGAGGCCGGGATCCATACAAGCGTCGCCCATCTAACGGCTGCGGGTTTGGGAATCGAATAGACCCATGGAATGAGCGTGATGCGAGCGGGGATCGCGAGACTCGCCTGCAGGATGGTAGCGACTGCAACATCTTCTTCAAACGGACAAAGGCCTTGACTCGTAATATTAGAGACTTCCTTTCATTTCCTACACGACTTCTCTTGTTGATTGATGTTGCTCCCACTATGCACCAGTACAGAAACGCCAAATCTGATGCTGATCTACCAGTCCGACAATACGGGCACTACGCATGATCTACTTTAGGTTTAGTTTAAACTTCAGATTTCTAGAAGCATACCAAACGACGACGAAAAAAAGGCATGAAGAGCGCCCAAATTTTTTCATCGGAGCCTCTCACTTTCTCATGATCATGCAATCGCTGAAAATAAGAACGCTAAATCAGTTCCACCGATTGGCTCACAACACTCGCGTCGATCGCACAAGTGCCGAGAAGTAATGAAAGCGCAAGCGCCGCAACCATTTCTAGAATGGGCATTGCTTTTTTATCAGGTGGAGAGAGAGCTCTACAGTCGTGTGAGTACTATTACTTGGGCCATATTTTCTTCCTCGGGTAGGCACCTAGATACGTCTTCAAGCTTTTCCGTTCTTGTCAGTCTAGCTGAAATTATTACATCTACGAATGTTGGAATCAAGAATCATATTATTATGTATCATGCGTCGAATAAAGCGAAAAGTGAAAATAGAAACACATAGATGTCGAAGTTGAACGAAATTAATATGAAAGCGGTTTTAACTACTGCGTAATATTCAGCGAAAAAGTCCTAGTAGGAGTATCCAGGACTTCTGGATTGAGCCTCAAGAAGATATCCTAACAATTCAACAACCCAGAACAATGGCGGCCATTTTTTCTCTTATATTTTTTGCGCGGATATCAAAGGTAGTTCTTGCATGCTCGGATGTCAAATCGCGTTCTTTGTAGTATTATCATCTTTCTCTAAGAGAACCTGTAGAGCTTCTCGTTCTGGATGTTCAATGACATAAGGAGAAAGTACGTGAAAGCGCGAAAGCTATTATAACAAGAATAGAAGTCTAATTCACGTGCTAGTTCATCTTATATTTTCATAGAAGAAGAATCCAAGCTTATAAATATATACATAGATACCGATACGTCTCTGGCAAGAAGTGCACATGCGCATGTCTGTGCCCAAAGCTTTAATCACGACCAATGTCATCCCACAAATGATTCTGGTCACCTCTCGTCTGCATCGACGAGGGTGAATTTTTACCGTAGAAAAAAATATCCATTCCCAGCAGATATGTCAACGGTGAGGCTCCTTGTGCGTGCATCAGCGTCAGAACTTGATGCTCAACTTCCGAAGAATAGGGCTGGTCTTCATCTTCTGCTGTTCTTAGGGTTTCATCATCGCCAACTGCCATACACAAATCATCTGAGTCTGACCAGGTTCCTTCGAGGCCGTCAAGGCGGAGAGGGCGCACCTCGTCGAGAACGTTTCTCGTCGCTGCAGCAGCTTCTTTTTGTCTCGCTACCAATTCGCGATGGGACCTCTGGTCGAGTGAGCGGGTTCGGTGCACCAAGTTGCACTGGACACGGAACAGTTGCGACTTCTGTCTCTTCTTTACGACGTCGTCAACCAGAATGGCATCGCACCATGGATCAGCGACGTGTGTTTTCCAAGCGAAAAATTCCGCCCACATCGTTGCGCATGAATTCAAATCAAGAAAGTCACCACGACCACCTCTTTTGCAGGCTATACTGCGCGCGGCTGATCGTGCCAGATCCAGCTCGACTCGCAGAGTGGCCTCCTCGTCTTCCCGAAAATGTTTCGCGGTGCGCTCCAAACCTCGACAAAACTTCCGTCGATTCGCTAGCTCCACTCGCTTTGGGATAGGCTTCTTCGATCCACGGCTCTGTGCAGAGAAGTTCACCGCACACTTCATCAACGAGTTCGCCATCACTTGATGCCATGAAGTGGAGGCTGTGCTCGAGAATGACTCTCCTTCATTCCCGTGCTTGACGCGACTCTTGGCTGCTTCCTCATCGTGCGTGCAGTTGACGCCAGGAACACTAGCTGACGTTGAAGAAGATGCGCTCCTCCAAGCACTTGCTTTGGGTTTGGAATTATCTTTTACATTTATTTCTTGTGCTTGTCCACTATCCAATCGCAGGATCCGTTGGACGGCCTCCACTGCGTGCTGCTCCGCAAAAGTAGGAGTACTTCTGTCCTGCAGGCGTTTTCGCATTTCTCGCTGATACAGAACCTCCCCGCGGCTATGAGGACACGTTACTCCTCGATAGAGAAGGCCATGACCAGCCATCTCGCGATGGAGGCGGCCAAGTGCCGTGCGATGTATGTTGTGGAGCTCCACCTGATCAGATTGCGCCGCAACCCGCGGCAGCGCCTGGTGGTCAAATCCCCCAGCGCGGAGGGCATTGTTGTAATTTCTCCACAGCGTGATCGCGTCCCGGTTTCGGTCAAAAGTGCGACTTTTGAGTGTCTCCTGGATACGAATGATCTGTTCTCGCCTACTGTGGTGGACTCTTCCGGGTCGCCGCAGAAAAATGCCCTGACGCTGTCCCTCGTGCAGAACCTCACCACGCAGATGCACATTCGCATTGTAAGTCAGAGTGTTGTGGGTCCATGCCGCGTCAACGAACAGGTCGTGGTCGGTGCTGCTCATCTGCAGCTCGTCCTTCTGATAATAATGCAATTTGTGTGGAGATTTGCTTCGTTGACTCTCCGTCTTGATGCTGCCCAGCTGTGCGTTCTGGTGCAATCGAATCTTAGCCACTTGCATTTGCATAAAGAAATCAGTGCCAGTATTGCCCCTTCTGACAGCATCACGCTCACCATTTCGCTTACCACGTTTGCGTCCTTTCGAACGTCCTCTCGACCCGCGACCTTTTCGGGTAGACGCAGCTGTAAACGTGCTGTGACTTGTTCTGCGCCTTTTCTTGCCACTTACACTTTTGCCTTTTCGCCTCTTACTAGCCGACGCAAGACGCTTCTTCCTCCGAAGCCCGAACCTCGCATGCGATTTCTTGCGCAATTGGCGGCCTTTAGTGCGCACACTTCGACGCTTTCTCCTGCCCCCTTCCTGTTGGAACAAGAGCGCATTGCATTTAGACCTAACAGATATCAACTCATTTAGACAGTCGCCATACTCATTCTTGCGGTTGAAGTTGCTCGTGTGCCCTTCGTTCCACAGTCCTGTCTCAGCACCGCCCTGTAGCGACTCCCCACTTTGCAGCAAGGCACCAAGAGATGCTGCAGTTTCGTCGAACTCGTCATCGGATATTTCGTTGGACAAAAAGTCAACTGTGTCCTGTGTTGAAACACGACCGCGAGCTGTAGTTTTTACTTTCGTACTAGCACGTAGCGATGACCATCTTGCGTCATACATTATTTTCGTCTCCAGCTGAGCTGGATAATACACGAAGCCTGCACCATCATCGAACGCATAGCCTGCACTACACGCAGGACCTTTATGTTGTTTGCGTTTAATGGATCGAAAAAAATAATGGGATTGACTTTGACAGACAATTTTGGTAGATTCCATGATATATCTGAAGCAAATAAGATCATCAAGTCATCCCATTATGTTTATGGGCTCCTGACCTAAACTGGTGCCACAGACACGAATACAACATCAAAGCAGCTCTGTCACAAGAAGTACGTTTTTGATGTTGACGTTGCTTGTTCCCCATCATGTCAACATCAAGCGCAGATCGTATATTCTCACGTTCGCGAGGCCGCCTACTAGTTGACGACCTGTTTGCTTCCCCATGGGATGCCATAGTTTGATGATGCTGCTTGCCGGCTCCGATTGCGTGCGGTGATGAATCAAAAGGACACTGTCTATGAACTCCCTCATCGTAGGTTTGAGACTTCTCTAACGCAGCCAGAAGATTCTCGCGCCACAAAGCCGTCCGCTGAATTTTCTGAATCAGCGCCGCTTCCTCTGCTTGCTCCCGCAGCGTCTCTTCTGCATTCCACTCATCAAAACGCCGTTGATTTTCCATCTCCACAGACTCTGCCTGTTCTTGCCCGTTTGCAACTGATCTCGTACATGCGACAAGTCGCTCCGCCATTTCTTCCTGCAGCTGCGCGTCCGAGATTTCCCGTCGAACGCGAAAATTAGAGTACTTCTCTGCACTAGAAGATACAGCTCGCCGTTGCTCTGACGCAAAACGCCTAACAAGGTTTACTCGCATCTTTTCGACCTCAGGAGCGTCCTCATGTGTCTTCTCCTGCATCCGGACCACACCACTGTTTGTAAACGGGAGGCGCAAAGAACTTTGGCGCCCAGACTGAAGACCGCGTGACTTTTGAGAAAGGCGAAGAAGCAGGCTCTGGTATACTGGATGGGTGTATCGGGCCCTGCGACGCGCGCGTTTCGCGTTTTCGTACATCGCGGTCTTCTTGCGCACTTGCTTTCTTCTTCGAGTGGCAGCCAGGGCATCTTCAGCCGTCTTACGCGTCCCCCCTTTGTTCACATAATGTCCTATTTGCCATCGCATAATCCCATTAGCACCCAGGATCAGATGCTTTGACTCGTACTCGTCCCTAAGTGCTTCTACGTGTCCAGGTATCGCGGTATTTTCCTCGAGAGGACAAGCAAGAAGGCGAGGCCTGCTCTTCCCAGTGGTACAATGCGCGCTGTGAATTGCAGTAGCTGTACTAGAACAAGAGCCTGATGTCTTTCGATCATAATGGTGCGCTGTCTCTTGCCAATCTGACAAGACCTTACTTCGCACTTGCCCAAAGAACTTTCTGCACCGTTTGAGTGTGGAACAGTCAATGCCATCCCTTTCAGAAACGGGAAAAATTTCGTCGTCAATGACGTGGTCGTGGGTTTCAATAGGAGCAGTCGCAATCGCATGAGCTGTTCCTGTTGACGTACTGCAATGTTGCACTGCGCTGTTCTCCCTACTATCAGGATCAGTGGTCACAACTACATTTTCCTCGGGTCGTTTCGGTGTGAAGCAGCTTCTTGTTCTTGTATTCGCATCCTGCTGAGTCATCCGGGTTGCGTGTTCATCATCATCCTCTCCTCTAGTTGTAGCTAATAGCTTTGAGTTTGACCTGTTGCCAATCACATTTAGCACTGCCAGAGGCGTCATCCGTTTCACTTTTTGCGCGCATCTTTTGTTCATCAAAGCCTGCGTGTAGTCGGTGGGTACCACTGAGGACGCTAATAGGGCATTGAACTGTGGATCACTGGTGACCATTTCGCTATTCGCAAAGTAATACGGAACCGCGCTTGCATCGTCTTCGTACGTATCCACTTCTAGGAATGTCAGCCATTTCGGAGACAGGCCGCACCGTCTGTTCAGATACTCCACATTGACGTCGACCATGGCATTGCACACGGGTTCGCCGAAACATGCAAGCTCGTTTTCACTATGCTCAAATAAGTCGATACTGACTTGGCTTGCATTTGCAACGTCGGTCGCTGCAGGTGGAATATTGGTGGATAATGATGTTGAAATAAAGTTGTCGGAGGTTTTCCCTACATCTCCTCGAGCGAGAGTCTCCGTAGAAGATGCAGAGGAGTCGTTTCTTGCCTCGACTAATTCGGACCTTTGAACTTTAAGATCTAAATCCTCCAGCACTTCTGGCGAAGCCAAATGCCACGCGCTATAGGCACAGTGGAGCTCTCTTCTCATCTGTAAACCGCGTTGCAGTGACAGCCCAGCGTGCAAACGCAAAACCTCCTCCCTTGTCAACCGTGCAACTCTTTGGGGATAGATGTCACCCTCAGGATCCGGTCCAGGCAGATTCACACCACTAAGCGAGCCCCTGGCTCTGGCTCCTTGCGGTGGAACATTTGATAGGGCTATTAAGGCATCAGATGAAGAGCGAAGATCCGAAGTGACATTTCCAACAACATCTTTGTCACAGATACGCTCGAACATAGACAAGGTTGGCAAACGTTCATCTGCGTCCGACTCCAACTCTGCTTCTTCTTCTGCACCGTCGACTAACTGATAGTATTGATGTGAAGTCCTGCTCCTGCCATAGTCCGAAATGCAGTACTCCACCAGGGGAATGCCTTCATTCTCTGAGCTTAGTAGGTGCGACTCCTCTGCCCCGTCAGCTTCTCCTTCATCCTCTTCTGATTCTGATCTGCAGACTGTAGACGCTGCGGGGCTGGCTTCTTCTCCGTCTCTCCTGTTCGTGCTGAATAGCGTGTGATGTTTTTCTTGCGTCACGTGGAACTCATCCTCGGCCCCCGCGCCTTCCTTCTCGGAAAACTCTTTTACATCAATCCTGCGCGCCTCGCTTGCGGAGGACTCGATATCACTCTCACCCCACAAGCGATCCCAATCAATATCCTCGATTCGAGTCCCGGCAATAAAACCAGCCCGGAAAACTGTCGCATAGTCTTCGGACACGAGTCGGAGGAAAGGAGTTAGATCCTCGTCTAGATCGTCCAAGTCTTCGAATGCCTGTCGAATAGGTTCCACCCGCAACCAAGTGCGGCGACTCTTTTCATATCGGACCAGGACAATGCGCAGGTTCATGGCCGCAAAAGCTGGCAGCTGCAAATACAGCGGAAAACGCCCAGTCCAATCCGGCCCTTGAACTTGATGAAGCATATCACTACCAAAACCTCCTCCTAGTCGTAGAGAACTTGACGGCGCATTTTTCTGGTCCTCCTGATTACACATTGCAGTCAGATCTTGCATCCCGCGCGCATGCGTCAAGTCTAGCGCGCTTCGCACCTCATGTAGCATTGCAGCGTGCATTCGAGGACCGAGAAGCTCGGCTATGTGATCCACTGCACACTTTGGCGGAAAAAAGTCGATGTCTGAGTCTTCTTCTGGTTGCGCCCGCATAGCGTACGACGTATGATTCGAAAACGTGATCGATTCCGCATCACCTGGAGCTTCTGCACTCAGATGCCGTCGCTCTAACTCAGCAAATGCGTAACAGATGATTGCAGCATCGAGTACGGATAGGCTCTCGGGTAGCGCTATGTGGCATTTCTTTCGTCCCTCAAGTGTTACCGCCATGTCTCTAAACCACCGGCGGACGACGCCAAGCTCAGTATCGCTGCGGAAATTTGCTTCCTCGAGTAACGGACACTGACGCAACTTTTGACACACTCCTATCCTCTGCTTCGTTGTGAAAAAGTAGTCCCAACTTGGAAACCGAATCGCATCCGTTTCCGCAACGCACTCTTGGACGGGTCTTGTTCCAGGCAGCCATATCGGTCTCGAAACACGTATGGCGCAGTTTTTCACTGAACGCCCTCTCAACTTGCGATCCTTATTCAGCCGTAATTTGTAGTCCTCCTCCACATTGGTAGGAAAACCGGCATCCTCAAGATCTACCAGCGGGCAGCCATGGCCAACATCCTGCTTTACTGGAAGTTTCTCAGTCAGTTGTGTCAGTGTGGTCACACGTTTGCCCAATAGGAAACAGGATGACCCTGCGAACGATGCAGTAGAGGTTCGACCAGTAGAACTAGCTTGCTTGTTCTCGTGGTTTACAACAATCGCGAGCTCTTTCGGTCTATTCGCCTCAGATGCACAGGCACCCGCTGAGTGACGGATGCGATCAAGGACATAGAGTGGCAGAGGCTGCGAGCTGTCAATCATTTTGCGTCTATGCGCGATATATTTCAAGAATTCTGCGCTTTCCCGGGCTTCTTTGAGCTCTCGCTCATAATGATGGGCAAGCACCATCGCCTCTCTCCGCGACCCTTCGGAAATGACACTTACCGACGGGTTGTATGTATGCCGGAAAGGCTTGCAAATAAGGTCCGCATGCAAGACCTTCTTTTTGGGATTTGAAGAAGACTGTACTGAACTTGTTAGACAATCGCTGCCTTGCATATGTCCTCTTGTCGGTCTGCGGGCGCGTGTGGCGATATGATCCTTGTGCTGTCTTCGTTTACCATCTTCGCACCTCGTTGGGAATCCCTTGACACTATCGCATGTACCATCCTGGTCGTTGACAGCGCCGCGTTTTCGACTCGATTCTTTCAAACTCGGAGACGGCGGGGAAAGGCGAAGAGAGGACTCGTGTTCATCATGCTCATCACCACCTCTTTTCAAAGCGCTATTCTTTCTGTTGTGTCTAGTTTTCTTCGATTTCTTCTCTCGCTTTTTCTTCCTGCTCTTGTTGCCCGAGGTGTGTTCGCGCCTTTTCTTCCTGCTCTTGGTGTCTGGAGAGTGCAGTTGTAGTTTGTCCTCATGCATCGCCGCAGTACTATCTAGAAGATGATGATTACTGTTGCGCAGACGACGATTTTGAATATCATCGCTCTTGGTCATG